AATCAACCGAAATTGACTAACTTAAAAGACGAATATATCTTGTGACTGAACTTAGAAAATATCTAAGTTGCATATGTACCTTTTAAAGGATCAAGTCATAACGTAGTTCAAAGTAACATGAATATGAATTTGTTTATGGGGGGTGCCGTGACAGTTTATACTCATGCAGGCCAGGAGTGACTATTCTTTAACTACTTTAGACAAAGTAGAGTATTAGGTTTAACCACATAACACCTTAGTGGGAGAATTAACAGTTTAACCACATATATTCACATTGGTGGAGAATTTAGCAGTTTAATCACATGCAAAGCTTTTTGGTAATTACCGTTCACAGTTTATACTCATGCGGGTCAGGAGTTTTTCTTTTCCTTTTTTTTTTGGTTTTTTTTTAATACAAAAAACAACTAAGCGTAGTAGCGCTTCAAGAATTTCCCACTGATAGGGCCAATCTTGACTCGATCCTCCGATATCAGCTTGTATGTGCCATTGGTGTAGACCTCCGTGACGACATATGGTCCATCCCATCTTTACACGAACTTGTTTCCAACACGATGAGTGGTTATGATGGGTCTTCTCACAGCAAGTACCAGATCTCCTACTTGAAAAGAACGAGCTCGGACCTTCTTATTAAACGACTTTGAAAGGCGAGCTTGATAACATTCAAGTCTTTGTTGCGCTTCCAGCCTCCTTTCATCAAGAGCTTCTAATTCCTGAAGGCGCAGTCGTGCGTTATCTTCCTCAGTCAATCCTTCTTGTATGGCGATCCTCAACGATGGAATTTGTTGCTCGAGGGAAACGACAGCTTCAACACCATACACCAACGAGTACGGAGTCGCTTGAGTGGGAGTCGGATAGGTAATACGATATGCCCAAAGCGCTACATGAATTCTTTCGTGCCAATCCCTCTTTGACTTGGCTACGACTTTTTTAAAAAGACTACACAGAGTCTTATTGAATGCTTCAGCAAGTCCATTCGCCGCTGCATTATACATAGAAGATTTTCTCTGCTTAAAGTTTAACTTCTCGCAAAGCTTATCAATCAGACTGTTGCTGAAAGGCTTCCCATTATCCGTTATTATGTACCGTGGAATTCCATATCGGTAGATGATGTTTACCCGAATAAAGTCAGCAACTTTTTCTTTCTTCACTTCTTTTAAGGGGACCGCTTCATCCCATTTTGAGAAGTAGTCAGTCGCAGCCAAAATATAAAGATGACCACCTGAAGACTTTGTGAGAGGACCGACCACATCTAATTCCCAAGCATCAAAGGCCATGAAGCGACGGTAGGGTGCAACGGCTCAGGAGGCTGATGGATCAAATTTGCATGAAATTGACACGCTTGACATCTTTGAGCATAATCCATGCAGTCCCTAACCATTGTCGGCCAGTAGTATCCCATTCTCTTAATTCGGAAGTGCAACTTCGGACCAGACTGATGAGCGCCGCAGATGCCCGAGTGAGCTTCTTCAATAGCTTGAACAGCTTCTTCGTCATCTAAGAATCTCAAGAACACTCCGTCGAACGATCGTCTATATTATAGATCATTGAAATAGATGAAACGAGGTGCACGACGTCGAACATCAACCCTTTGTCGTGGATCGTTGGGTAACTTGTCATATTTCAAGTAATCCACGAGCAATTGACGCCAATCTTCCTTCTCAATTTCAAATACTTCAACCACATGAATTTCATCTTCATTCCAATCATCATTCGTAAAAAATCGGAGGTATAACCCAGCTTCTACAAATTTGCACTCGAGCCTTATCTTCAGGGAGAATGTGTGAAGAAGCGAGTTTTGCCAAAGCATCAACCTGTTTATTATTCTTTCTCGACACATGTTCGATCGTAACATCTCCAAGCCATCCCATCAGCCTTTTCGCATAGTCGACATACGGGAGCAACTCAAGCTTCTTTACATCGTATTCTCCAAGCAGTTGGTTCACCACTAGCTTTGAATCACCATAGACTTTCAAATGTAGTTGCTTCATGTCTACGGCCATCTCCAACCCCAGAATTAGAGCTTGATACTCTGCAACGTTGTTTGAGCAATTTTCAGTCAAAGTGAAAGAATACGGAAGCACTTCTCCATGGGATGTCACAAAGACGACTCCAGCACCAGCTCCTTCTCTATGAGACGCTCCATCAAAGTACATCTTCCAAGGTGGAGTAATTTCAATTAGAAGAACGTCTTTGTCTGGTAGTTCATCGGACAACTCCCACTCAGCAGGAATAAGGTGATCAGCTAAGAAGTCTGCCAGAACCTCTCCTTTTACCGCCTTTTGAGGGATGTAGACGATTTCAAACTGTTGAAGTTGAAAATACCACCTAGCTAAACGATCTGAAAGGACAGGTCTTGTCATGACATATTTTAATGGATTTGCCCTTGAAACAAGACGAACCGTATGAGCTTGAAAATAATGCTTCAACTTTTGAATTGCAAAGATCAATGCCAAACATATTTTCTCAATCGGTGAATAGTTCAGCTCGTTCGGCGTCATCGTTCTGCCCAAATAATATAACGCACTCTCCTTTCCATCGTCATTTCCTTGGGCCAGCAAAGCTCCAACAGAGCGTTCTTGTGCCGCTATGTAGAGGATAAGA